CCAGCAGCCCGCGCCCTCGAGCTGGCAGTGGTCCCCCTCCCAACCGAGCCCAACCCCTCGCTCGGTTCGTGGACGGGTTCCGTCCCGTAACCCATCCATCCTTCGCCGAGCGACGCCTCGCCGACGGAACCAGTCTGCGAAATTTTGCCGGCCAGACGAAAGCGACGCCCATCTGCGCCGCGCTCCACCGCTCTCGCCCTAGACGGGCCCGTTTCGTTCAAGCCGCTCGATCTTGGCGACGTGTCGAAGGCCCCTTGGAAGGGGCCTTTCAGCTGCATGCAAGGCTGCCCACCCCATGCTACCAACAACCAGGTTTCACGTCGAGGCCAATGGGGCCCCGCCGGCCTCCGCGAAGAGCTCCTCCCTCCTCCTCCCACGTCTCGGAACGCGCCCTGCCTCCTCGCCCTTGAACCCCCCTGGTCCGTCGCGGTGGGAGGGATGGCAAACAGCTAATACCCTGCGTCCGGTCTCATTTTGTTGCTGTTTCCGATTTTTGCTTCCCTACTTCCTAGTCCCTGCTAGTTCCCAACTCCCCTGCGCGTCCGCCCTCTCCACTGCTAGAACAGACATGGCTACGGGCCCCGCCTCCGTACCCGTCATGAACGAGGCCACGGTTCGACGCGGCCTCATCCTTAGTGCAGGCGGGGTCGAGGTGGAGGTGTTCGAGGACCAGCTGAATGCGATTAGAGAGGCGCCAAAAGGGGAGCTCGACGAGAGCATGATGGTCGCGGGCGTCGTGTACGTGTCCTGTCGAACATTTTTGGTTTGCCATGTTTCGGTTTACCTATCGCTGACGTTGACTTAGCTTTCCGTGCAGCCTGTTCTGTCATGAGCTGCTCTCCGTCGAGCAGCTCCCCAAGGTGTCGATCGCGACTCCGGCGCGTGCGCGTGAAGAGATGGCCCGTCCCACCCCGGTCGCTTTTGCGAACAACCACCTCGACGGCCTCCTCGGCAAGCAAGTGGTTTTCGTTCTGCTACGGACACCGTGAGTTTGACACTCTCCCGTCGCCTTGCGTGCTCCGTCTTTAGCCCCGAACCCGTTCTCACGTGCATTGGCTGTGCATGCAGACTGAGTGTGCCTCCGTTCTCCCACTCGAGCCTGTTTGTGGTATCGCGCCCCGATGATCTGCTGGCTCCGAGGCACCGTGGCAGTCGAACTCGAATGATGCACTTCGATTCGAAAGACAAGTTTCCCGATATGAACCACCAATCTTCTTTGGCGCAAGAAGTTTTCGTGTGAGTGACAGCTTTGCAACCCTGCTGTCGAGCTGCTGTTCTCGACAATCTTACTCTTCTGTCCTCTGCGTCGCAGGTGGATGAAGAAGCAGCTTCGCGCCGAGTACGCGATGACCCACCAGGCTCTGACCGAGGACGACCAAGAAGTGTTGAAGGTGATGGACCTTCGTCTGGAGTTGAACGAGGATTTCGACCATCCGGTAAGCTCTCCTTAGACCAACAGCGTTTTCGTCGAGCATGTGTTTTGTCGCTTACGTATGTTTTGTACCCGTCGCAGACGACGACGGCATTGTCGAGCCCCTATGAAAACGGCGCGGCAGCTCGTGTCGTGCATAGGGTGCGCCGGATTCTGTCGAAATGGGACGACTTCATCCTATAGCCTCGAAAGGGCGAACTCGTGCATCTAGGGAGAACAAACCCTGGCCCGGGTGTGCTTCCGTTGTTCATGGTCAAGCTGTTTTCGAGAAAGATTGACCAGCTGGCGGAGGGAGCAGGTGTGGGAGGGGGTGCCGACCATGAGGGAGGAGGCGAGAAGACGGGACGCGTCGTGATTGAGTACAGCGTCGAGGAGGAGGAGGAGATCGAGGAGGATACATCGAGGCAGGCTCAGCACGGGGCGAGCGGCCCGGGCGGCGATGCGAACCAGGACGAGGACTCGAGCTCGGAATCGAGCTCCGGCTCGAGCTCGAGCGATGAGTCGGTCGAGGACGACGGCGAGGGCGCCGGACATCGAACGGAGCGTACGGGGGAGCACGGAGTGGCGCTCGGGGAGCGGGTGGACGAGCGAGTAGAGCTTATCGAGCAGCAGGCGACAGGGGAAACAAAGGCTGTCGAGGAGCAGGAGGGCGGAGCGGCTGCGCAGGAGGGTGGGGTTGGAGGGCAGCAGCAGGTGGTGGGCGAGGCGGCTGCACAGGAGGGCGGGGCAGGAGGGCAGCAGCAGGAGGGCGTGGCGGCTGCGCAGGAGGGTGGGGCAGGAGTGCAGCAGCAGGAGTTTAGGGTTGCGGCTGCGCGGGTGGGTGGGTCGGGAGGGCAGGAGCAGGAGGTCGGGGAGGCTGTTGAGGAGTATCGTCGAGGAGATGAGCGACAGGCCGCCGTAACAAGGAGTCACCGCACGGCCAGTGGCAGCGGACAGGCGGGCCCTTCGACCGGGTGGCCTTCGACGGCAGGCCAATCGACGGCGAACGTTGCACCCGGAGGCCAGGTCGTCGAGCTACTGCAGAGGGTCGAGAAGGTCGAGGCGTCGCAGAAGCAGCTCGTCGCCGATGTATTTGCGAAACACATTGAGCAAGCCGGAGTATTCAACAGGCTTGCGGCGGATTTTCGGACGGCGTGGAATACGATTTCGGAGTCGTCGAAGAGCACACTGTCGCAGTGCGCCGAGACTGTGAAGGGTGTCACGGCAGAGAGGAACCTATTGGAAGGGGCGCGGGCGAAGATCTATGAGATGAGCGGGAAGATCATCGAGGGGGTGGTAGCCGCCATCACAAAAGCGAGCGAGGACGCCGTCGAGAAGCAGCTCAAGCAGGTCAAGGAGCGGCTGGTTGCTGCGGTGCTGAAGGGTTTCGAGAAAGCCATCATGGAGGACATGTTTTGCTCCACCCTCCCACCCAAGACCATGAAGGAGCTGAAGGACATTGTGAGGGAAGGCTACCATGAAGCCGAAGCAGGGAGGTTGGAAGTCCTCACGGAAGCGATGGCGAAAGGTTTTCAGCGCTCGGCGGGCCCGTCGACGAGGTCGGGTCAGGAGGGTGTGGGAGGGGTTCGCAGCGGGGCTGAGCCTCGGGGTCACGAGCGGTTGGTTCCTCCGTCTTCTTCGGTGGGAGGACATGTCGGCAGCCCGGTTGGATCCCCACCGGCGCGTGGCCGTCATCCCGTCGCCAAGCCCGTCCCCGAAGTCATCGTACTCGACCAGTCAGCCCTCCCGAAGACCTCCGTAGTGGCTCCAATCGATCAACCTGATGTGTTTGCTCCGATGCGGGACATGCTGCAAGACCTGGGGAAAACGGGTGGGAAAGGAGTGGTCGCGGGGGAGAAAAGTGGTGCCCCGAACGAGCACGTCGCCTCGACCGGGAACAGAGCCCTAGGAATGCGAGGTGCCTCTACCCCGTCAAGCGGCGGTGCAGGGAAAGGAGCGGGAGAAGCAAGCGCTGGGTTGCTGTCGAAGACTAAAGCGGCATCAGCTGCGCACGGCGGTGGTGCTGGCCTTGCTGCCGGGCTTGTGGGAAATTGGGCGTCTTCCTCAACCCCTCCAGCTGCTCTTGTCGCCGCTGCTCCGTCCCTAGACAGCGTTTGCCTTAGCGATCCAGGCTCCCCTTCAAAGTCGAAGAAGAAGCCGGCTGCGACGAAGTCGTCGAAGCGCGCTGCACACGCGACAGAGAGCCTTGACGTGGTGGAGCTGGCCAGCGTCCCTGGTCAAGCGCCTGTCGAGAAGACCTCTATTGTCGTTGCTGCTCGACAGGAAAAGGCGAAGAAGGCCAGGGTCACGGGTCACACCCCACCTCCTCGACCGGACGACCAAGGCAAGACGAGAGGCTGCAAACGTCCCTTCAAAGGACCGGGTTTCGGGTTGCGGAAGGGGAAGCTGGTTTCCGAGCAGACCGTCGGCGGGAGGAAGCGGTTCCTTGGCACTTTTGAAACAGAGAAGGACCAAAAGTTCTGTACGGCCGTCTGCTGGCGCGTGTACTTCCCCGACGTTGTCCTTACGGAGTACGAAGGGTATACGGCGCATGATGAGGAGGACTGGAAGGTCTACCTCGATGCGGCCGCAGAAATGCCAACCGGCGTTTGGAGCGTGGCGTAAGAACAAGGGGAATATCATTTCGACGAGTAAGTCCTGTCGAAATCATGTTGCTAGACTTTGCTGTTGAATTCCTGCTGTTTTGGTGATTTGTCTAACACTAGCTGTTTTGCGGTGAATGTGCTGTCGGTCGAATTCTGGCCTCTTTACTAACGCATTTCTTGCGATGTGCAGTTACCTGTCGCTGTTGGCGACGGCAAAAAAGGAAGTGAAAGCTGGAACCGAGAGGGGAATCGCGCAGTGCGTGGCGATTGGTAAGGTCGCGATGCTTGGCCTGAAGCACGGGAATCTGATTTACCCGGTCCCGAAGGGCATGGCGGCGACACCGCACATGATGGCCATCGCAGCAACTGTGGCGAGCTTGTGGGCGGCCTGCAGGAAGTTGTCGAGGGAGGATATTAAGAAGGATGCCCTAGCTGCCGCAAACGCGGCGATCTATGCCCCGGAGACTGCAAAGAAGGCTTGTGTGGCTGCCATGTCCGCACTCGTGTCCATACTTTTGCACGTCGGCAAGACGTTCCCGGCGAAGCAGTGGCCCGATCACCTGTATCCGTCGGCTGGCGAAGGGCTCGGCTCGACGGACGCCATATTGCTGCAGATGCTGCGCGTGGCAGCACAGGTCTGTACGCAATGGTGCTGCTGTCGAGCTGCTGCCCGCTTGCTGGAGGACGCGGGCTATGGCAGCCTGGCTATGCCAGAAGAAAAGAGCAAGGCGAAGCAGGGCGTCGAGAATGCAGCTGAGACGGAAACGAGCGGGCAAGGGGAGTAGTCTAGGCGGGCACTTTGCGTGGGGGTGTTTGCTATTCTCGACAGTTGTGTTAGTTATTTCTAGAGTTTAATCGACAGCATGTACATGTTGCATGAATCTTGACTTTCCGTGTGCGATAATGCTCAGAAGGTTCATGCAGGCAAGATGGTCGGTCAGTAATGAGAATCTGCCATGCAATCTCTGAAAGAACAACCTACTCTAGTTTCCCCCCTCGTCACGATTGCCTGTCGAACTTGGGCTCTCGCCCAATGTTTTCATGAACTCTTTCCATTTGTCTTTGAGCACGTTCTCGGCCCATTTCGTGGTTCGAAGCTCGCCGCGAATGAGCTCCCACGTGATCCTGAGGCAATCTTTGTCCTTCCAGTTGTCTTCTGCTGTCTCGACTTTGCGCTTCTTTGTGAGCTGCTTCTCCAAATCCTCTTTGAGAACGAGCCCTTCAGCCAGCATGTTGATCAAGTGGTTCGAGAATATTGAGTCAAGCTTATCAATGATCGTCGCCGCGCTGCTGTCGTCGACCCTGAATATCTCGACGGCCCTCATGACAACCTCCATCTTCCGCAATTTTGACTCGACAGCTTTTGGGGTCGGTGGCTTTTCTTTTGGCTTGTTTAGCGCAACGGGGGGAACGGTGGGAGGAGTCGGAGTGAACTTGCAGAACTTGACGGCGAAACCCCTCCTGTAAGCGTGTTGAAGACTGTGTCCGTTGTTCAGCGGGCTTGGCCCGTCCCAGTACGACCACGCCTGCCGCACGGTCTCGCAATTGCACCATGGCCACACCACTGCGTCGAAGAATGCTTGGTCGAGCTGGCTGCCCTTGCTCTGTTGAGTGGGCGTTGATTGAGGGGGTTGCTGTGGTGGCGGGGTGGTTTCTTCGGTCGCCGTCTGCGGCACACTCTCGCTCCCCCCCACACTCGCAGCTGCGGTTGTCGCGGCGGTAATCTTCAGTGCGTCGAACGCTTTCTGCAGTAGCGCGAGTGCTTCTGCCTTCGCCTCCAACTCCGCTTGCATCGCGCCCTTCTCCCGCTCCAATGACTCGACCTTCTGCTTGAGGCCCTTGATCTTGATTTCTTTTTTCCCACCCTCCTCCTTGTGTAAGTTGGCCTCTGCCCAAAGTTGCGTGATGAGGTGCTTGGTGTTGAGTTGAAAGGATGTGTCCTGCGCACAAGATCACGAGCGATAGGTAAGTGGGCTGATGCAATCTGTTCGGATTAAAAATTAGAAGGGCCATCTTATCGAAGCTTTAGATAGCGTGGGGTTGGTCTGCATCTCGATGCCGTATTTGTCGAGCAGGTACACGTCAAGCGCCCATTTTTGGAAATCCATGTCCTTGCACAAACTGGACATCTGTACATAAGGGTGACGCTCGCAGTCGCAAACAGTCACTCCGTCGAAGGGGTGGTCGTCACAATGGACGTAGTACATCGCAAGATCCTCGGCGATGGGCATTCGGGCGGCTTGCAGGGCCTTCAAGAAACTTTTCGCTGCGAAGAACATATGCTCCTTGTCCTGCTCGTTGTTCCATTCTATCGCCTGAACAAGAACAAACGTGGTGACATTGAGAGATAGATGGGCAAAACTTGCATTCGATGATGACGCTAAGCGCTCGACGCATCCATACCTCGTCGAGCCACTGCTCCGCCTTTGGAAATATGTGCTCCTCGATAGCCTTCAGGACCTTCGCGGGTACTTTGCTCTTCGATCTTCCAAGGTAATAGTCACCCGGTTCCGTCGTGAAACCCGCTTGCAGCTGGATGGCCCCGCGCGGGATGCCTGTGACGTATGACCTGCGCATCTCGTTCATGTCCCATTGACCCAGCTGCGCGATGTTGTCGAGTTCACAGTTTTTGTCGGCGAGGATCTGTGCCGCAGACCGTCGAAAGATATGTGTGACTTTCGACAGGATCCACTCCGCGCTTTTCATCGCCCAGGTAACCCATTTGGCATGAGTCGCGTACGGCAACTCGGTCTTGTCTTTGTCGAAGAGGGCGAAGAACAGGTGCTTCTTTGACCAATTTTCCGGGTTGCTGAAATCCAAGGGGGGCACGATCTTATCGTTGTTGTAGTAGAGCGGCACAAGGTCGAACATGAAATGTATCCACATGAACACTGCTCCGAAGCCGCACTGCCGGAAGTCCATGTGTCGAGTCAGGTACAGGTGGCCGAGCTTGTTGTCTTTGATGGTCTTCGAGCTGCGATAGGCGACCACGAGAACGTGGATAGACGATTCCCCCTTGCTGTTTATGATGGGCGGAAGGACGTGAGTGAACTTGCAGTAGCGGATCTCGCGGATGCTTATCCCCCTGCCCAGCATGTGATGCGCCATCAGGATCATCACCCTCACGGCCAAGGCCCTCCACAGCGACTGACTGGGGAAACTCATCGACTCCCGAAAGTACTCCTTGGCCCAGTACGGCAGGATGTCTGAAACGAGAATGCGGAACTGCTCCTCCGTGTAAACATCGTCGAGCGAGCCCCGGTGTGGATCGACGCACTGCCTGCATTGAGTGGGCAGATACAGCGAGTACTTGGGTGAGAATTTGAGTGAAAAGATTTAGAGTCCGCTGTATGGCAGCCTACTTACTCGAACTGAAAGTCGTGCAGCTGCCGCAGCTTGACCGCAAGAAGCTGCCGGGCCTCGGTGATGTCGTCCAAGGGTTTCGTTAGTGGCTCGTCGAAGAGTATGGCTTCTACTCTGCAGAAGCACGTCAGCGCAGTAAGGCGCGCCAGCATCATCGGAGGGGTGCTTTTTTTCGCCTTCCTTCCAGCGACTCTGGTCCGGCCTGTGTCCAATGAAGCCGCGTGTTGGTCGGTTTCAGTCGACATGTATTCGATGTACGCGCGCAAGCGCCACTTCGTTATTTTCGGCCCATGCATGTGCTCCTCGTTACGCAGCGCCTCCCTCCATCTCGGCCCCATATCGTCGCCGATCTCCCTACCGATCTCGTCCTCGTAGATCACCTGCTCCTCTTTAGGCACTCCGTTGCTTCCCTCGGGTGCCAGAATTTTACAGGCCCAAGCTTTGTAGTGCATGCTTCCAGAGACATAGTTCGGCCGTGTGGAATCCTGGTCAACTCCCAGCAGCGGAACCTCACACCGGAGAATCCTGCTTTTAAGTGTTCCGGTCGCCAAGTACATGTCAGAATATTATTCTTATGTTCTAGCCTGTAGTGGGGTGCTCTATAGCGAGTACAACCCTTCTAGGGTTTGCTATTTGTATCCCCATTTCTGCTAGTTCATTCCTCTTTCTTCTTCTAATTTTGACATGCTATCAGAGCAGGTCGATCCCCCTGGATCGATCCTGTGGGTGGGCTTACCACCGCTTAGCTTCCGCTGCTACTACTGCTACTACCCTCTGAGCCGCACGCCACGTGGCGTGCGGCATTTTTTCATCCCGCCGTGCGCCCCGAGGCGCGCGGCGGTTTTCTGCCCGCCGTGCGCCACGAGGCGCGCGGCGGTTCATTGCCCGCTGTGCGCCCCGGGGCGCGCGGCGGGCTTCTCCCCTACGTCGCGGCCCCGCCCCTCTCGACGCGGCCCCGCTCTACGTCGCGGCCCCGCCCCGGCCCGTCGCCGCCCGTGCGCCTGCCCGGCTCGGCCCCGCCCTTCGTCGCGGCCCCGCCCCGGCCCGTCGCCGCCCGTGCGCCTGCCCGGCTCGGCCCCGCCCTACCTTTGCGGCCCCGCCCTATGTTGCGGCCCCGCCCTATGTCGCGGCCCCGCCCTACGTCGCGGCCCCGCCCTATGTCGCGGCCCCGCCCCGACCGTCGCGGCCCCACCCCTCGTCGCGGCACCGCCCCCCCCCCCCCCCCCCCCCCCCCCCTTTTCTCCCCTCCCCCCCATTTCCCGTCGCCCGTCGCGGCTCCTTCGGGGGCCGCAAGCGGCCCCCTCAGGTCGCCTCGACGGACGACGGGAGGGGCGAGCTGTGGGGTGGCGGGTATGGGGGTGCTCGGTGTGCCTTCCTCCCTTTGCTCCTCCTCCTCCTCCGTCTCCCACTGCTGCAGCTGTCGCTGAGGGGGGTGGTTGTGTGGGAGACTGGGTTTAGGGTTTAAGGGGGGTGTGTGGGAGTAGAGCTAGCGGTGTAGCAGTGGGTGTGTATCAGGGGGGTGGGACTGTTTGCGGGAGGTTGAGCGGAGGCTGCCGGCTTGTCGTCCGCAGCACCTGTAGTCCGGGGCGCTGTCCCGGTAGCCCAGTCGTAGCCAGCTGTGCCAGCCGCCCGTGGGTCCGTTGCCCGTCCGCCGCTATTTGAGCCGCGGGGCCTGTTACTCCTGTAGTCCGGGCGCTGTCCGGTAGCCGCTGTGCCAGTCTGCCTCCTGTTGCCCGTGTGTCTGCAGCTTCAGCCGTCGCCTCCTGTCTCCTCTCCCCTCACTCTCCCTCCTCCTCACTTGCCCGTTGTGACTACCACTAGCTTTGCTTATAATTGTGAACTCTAAACTATTTCTTCTTGAACTTGTGCTCAGAATGTGTGGTGACATTGTGATCCACCCTGAGCTTGTTTTGCTTTGCCTGCTCTGCTGATTACACCCCACTTTGGCTATGGGGGTGTGTCAGAATATTATTCTTATGTTCTAGCCTGTAGTGGGGTGCTCTATAGCGAGTACAACCCTTCTAGGGTTTGCTATTTGTATCCCCATTTCTGCTAGTTCATTCCTCTTTCTTCTTCTAATTTTGACAGTACGGATTGTCTGCGCCCGGTTGGTCGCCGAGAATGTGCGCGGCATCCTCCTCTGATATATTTGCCGCAGCAGGCCGCAGAGGGTCCGGCGGTTCGACATCGTCCGCCTCCTGCTATTCTCCCGTCCGAACATCGTCATCGTCCGTCGCTTCAGGGACGTTCCTGGTTAAGTCCTCTCTGCTTGGTCTCGTCGAAGTGCGCCTAGGAGCGGCGGGGGCGGCTCGAGAAGCGGATGTGCCGGCAGGGGGTGGTTGGCGAACCTTAGGCGGAACAGCCCTCGCTCTCCTACGTCGCCCACCTGTCGAGGTCGGTGCACCAGCTGAAGGTTCCGTCGAGCGGTGGGCTGTCGACGATGGTGCACGGTGAGCAGGAGCCTCGTGTGTAAAGGGGGCATTTGTTGTCGAGATGGGTTCTACGACAACAGGTATGGATTGACCTGTCGAAGGGAATTCGGTCTGTGCACCACCCACTTCAACAGTGACCGGAATACCCGTCGAACGCTGGTCCGTAACAACCGGCTGTATTACTATCGGTATGGCTCGCGACGTCGAGGTGGGCGCTGCCACCTCCAGTATGGCACGCGTCGTCGAAGGGGCCGTCGAACGCTGGTCCGTGACAACCGGCTGTAATACTACCGGTATGGCTCGCGACGTCGAGGTGGGCGCTGCCACCTCCGGTATGGCACGCGTCGTCGAAGGGGGCGCGGAAGAAACCGGCGTGGCTCCAGACGACGAAGGGGGTAGTGTCGAGATGGACTCCAATTCGACAGGTATCCGTCCTACGTCCGCCTGCCGGGAAGGCGCTGTCGTTGACGGATCGGTCTCCATCAGTGCCCACCGAAAGCTAGCAGTTCTCCCTAAATCCTGGCCTGCTGAGGAAACTGTGGTGCTTCTACTATGAATTCAGGTTTATACAGTGACCTTGGGCTGATGTTGCTCCCCGTGGAGACTGAGACATTTGACGTGGCAGTCGGCAGTTGACGTGAACGTTTGACTGCGACAGACGTAACCCGTCGCCCATCCGACAGCGACAGTTCGCTCGACCGACGAGGCGACAGGTCGGCCGCAGTTGACGTCTCCGTCGATTGCGACAGTCGGTATTTCGCAACCGTCGACCGTCAGCGCCACCGTGTGGGCGACATGCCACCGGGTGTAACACGCGTTGTCGGGGGTGCACGGTGCTCGACGGCGATTGGCCAATGTCCGTCGAGCACTGCTCGACAAATGTCCCCGAAATTGCAACAGTTCGGCCGACATATATATGAGCATAAGAATACGACATTGAACCCGCGGGTTTCGGAGGGTTTTTTGGCCTGGTCAGCCGGGAATTTCTGGGGGCCAGGAGGGATTCGGCGGGTTTTTCGTTTTGCCTCAAATCCCTTTGTGCCAGGGCGGGTGGGGCGGCATGTGATGACGTCACCCGTGTGTATATAATCGGCTATCACCTTCATCACTTCCTAAATTTACAACATAAAAGCAGTGCAAAACTCAGTTCAAATCATCCTCACCCAGCTCCCCACATTCCAAGATCCGTCCCCAAAGGAGCTCCTTCCCTCCGCCATGGCTTCCAACTCAGTCTTTGCTGCTGTGCTCCTCCTCGCCCTCTCCCTGCCCTTCGTCCTCGCTGGAAACGCTGCTGGCGCGGAGCAATCGTCCCAGTCCAATTAAGAATATGACGCCAACGGCAACATTATCCTGTCCCCCGCGGGAAACAACAACCAGAACGGCTACGGGCAGGGCACATCCGCGGACGTGATCGATTGGTACAACGACCAGGAGTACCCGACCTGCCCCCGCTTAAGGCCTGCCCACCTTTCAAGCACTATTGCTCGGGCGGCATGTGCAACGACACGGCTGGCATCCTCGGCCGCTGGAGGGTGAGCGTCAACTCTCGAATTCCAGATTTGCCAATTCCGATCCGGATTTGCGTGTTACAATTCCGTCGATCCGCTCTCTTCACACATCTCAGCTCGTTTTGTAATGTCTTGTTTCTTGCGTCACGGCAATATCTAAATTCTCCCGATTTCCTGTTGCGTTTGCCTGCCCTCTGATCGTCACCGTGCCGCGCAGCTCCCCGAACAGTCGTCGCTCGTGTGCCTGCCGGGGCGCGCCAACCCGAAGCCCAACAACGAGTGGTGCATCGGAGAGCTCACGCCGTCGTAGTGCTGCAAGGCGTGCTCCGAGAGCAAGGAGCCGTGTGCCATGTGGCAGCACTACATTGGGTGAGTGAATTCACGGGTTTCTTCTGCGGCTCGGCCTGTTACTACGACGGATGCGGATCGGCCTTGATGCGGTCGTAATTCTCGTGCTCCGTCGTTTGCACTATTTCGCGCCACCCGAAAGTATTACCCATTATCTCGTTCGCAGTTCCTTAATTATCTCCTGTTTTTACCTCGCGCAGAACCGTGAAGCCCTCTGGCAAGTGCCTTAAGTGCGGCATCTGCTGGCTGTACCCGCCCGGCACGGCGCCGCGGTGCGAGACTCAGCTGGACAACAACAACGGCTACCGTATCAAGTACAACTGCTCGCGCATCGGCGGCAGCTGCCCCTACACCAAGAGCGACCCGCACTTCCACGGCGCGCAGGGCACGCGCTTCGAGTTCAACGGCGCTCCGGAGAAGACTTTCTGTCTGCTGACGGATCGCAATGTGCACGTGAACATGCAGATGCGCGGATAGTACGATACGCGCACCGTCGGCGCGACGGTTCTGCGCAACGGGAAGGCTGTGCGCACGTGGATCCGCGCGCTCGGGTTCGTGTGGCGCGCGGCTGCCGGAGATGCGGAGCACAAGTTCCGCCTGGTGGCGCGCGCGGGGAAGCAGCAGGAGCGCGGGGACGGGTTCCTGGAGCTGGCGGAGATAGACGGAAAGGCCCTTCCGCGCATGACCAAGGAAGGGGAGACTCTCTCGCTCCCCGGAGGCCTCGCCTTCACTTACATCGGGGTCGAGACTGGCGGGTTCGTGAAGGACGTGTACCGTGTGACTATTGCGGGGCTCCTGGACATGGAGATCAAGCTGCGCGTCGCGCACCCTCTGTTGCAAACATCTGACGACGCCGAGGCGCACATC